AGGCAACCTTATTTGAAGTTCTAATTGGTGGTGGGGGCACTGTGATTAATATACTGTAGCTGTAACAAAGAATTAGGTGAGGAAAAAAAAAAAAAACAAATACAAAAGGTGGCTCTGATCCCTCCCACTGGATTGTCCATGAAGGTCACCTGTGGGGTGTTAATGGTCGTTGGAGTGTTTAATGGGTCATTAGCTCCATCATCAGAGTGGTTTTAGTCCCATGCCTCATTGAAGTGTAAGTCTGACGAGGACAGGTGAGAGGTAAATCTTCTGAGCAATGTTCCTAAAAGGGCTTTGAAAGTAGATGACAGGTTATGTCTAAGACCACCTGCTCTGTTGAGAGATGGTTTTTCAAGGTTAACAAAGATGGCTTCCTTAACCCCTCTCTCAAACCATCTTTCTTCCTTGGCCATAATATGGACATTGTTGTCCTCAAACAAGTCTCTTTTAGTCTTCAGGTGTAGGTGAACATCTGAGTCCTGTTCTGAGGAGTTAGCCCTCCTGTATTGAGCCATGCACCTGTGTAGAGGTTGCTTGGTCTTTCCAATGTACAGCTTTATGCACTTTTCACTACACTGAATGGTGTAAACCACATTGTTGACATTGTTTCTGGGCATCTTGTTTTTGGGGTGAACCAGTTTTTGTCTTATTATGTTGCCGGATTTGAGGTGGTTAGGGATCCGGTGCTGGCTGACTCCAGCAACATGTGGAATGACGGTTTCTTCTTCTGTTTTCATCTCTCTCAGCAGGCATTTTCTTCTTGGTTTATAAAAAAAAGACAACAAAAAAAAAACAACGACCACAAAAAGGAGCCTCAGTTTTCTCGTGAAAGGCAAGTGAGAAAAAAAAGTCGTTTTAAAGGCTAACTTTTGAGTCTTAGTTTTTCTAAAACTTTGCCTTGTCACAGAACTTTATTGACAGCTTTCATAAAATTTGTTGTCAGAGACCTGGTTTCCACAAATCATTGTTCCAATTTCTGAAATATATTTTTGCAAAGTAAAATACGGTCCAATGAAGGTACTAAGACTTCAAAATCTAAATCAAGAATTTTTCATACTCCATTGTTTGAGGTTAAAAAAACCCAACAACTTTTTATTTAGCTGTTATAACTGAAATATTTATAAATAGCCTCATAAGTACATTTAATAATCAGGAAGCATAAATAGTGTTAAGTATTTACCAAGAGCAAGTTTTAAGACCTTTCAGGGCAGGAAAGAAAAAGAGAAAAACTTAAAACTATCCACATTTTTCTTACTTGCTTTTATGGGTAGAAAAAAAACGACTTAGAACTTTTCTTATCTAGATTTTAAGATATTTTTTTTTCTAACTTTCATTTAAGGGCTTCATTAGAAATAATATGTTTTAAGTTGATGTATAAAATTAGATCCACATACATTTAACCAGACTCTAGTTTTAGAAAAAGGTTCAGGTTATTGCTCCATGTCGAAATGTAACCTTTGTCCTTAAATAAACAATGTGTTTGCTTTATCAACAAGTGAAGGTCAGGCTGGATTGATACGCATCAAACCACAATTTTGGTCTGGTTTGGGGTTTAAATCTGATGTTTACCACTTTCTTCAAACATTTTTATTTTTCTATGTTAAAAATATTTTTTCGCCGATCAGAGGGTGGCTAAAGACATAAAGCCACTAAAATCTGTTTAGAATCTATCTACATTAATCACACTGTACCAACAGGATAACAAACTAGTACAACAATCATATTTTACAAATACATTACTGAAGACAGACTAGGTTTTCCTAAAGCCCTTGCTAATAAACATACACTCAT